TTACATACAAATAATTTAATATTGAATTCTAATATTATTTTAGAATAAAATAAGTATTAAATAAATGCAAATAATATATATATATACAGTATTTATAAAATTTATAATTCAAATTATAATATAAATTATTTTACAACATACTGTATATGTGTGATTATACAAGTAAAATATAAATGCAAATATATATATATATATATATACTGTACATGCAAACACATATATAGTTTACCTGAAATTTCCTTAACTGTTTTGAAATAATCGAGTTTCACAGGGTCCATGCTTGGAGTATTTGTAAAAACATCCCTTGAAAAGAATATTTATAGCATTAGATTAAATGTATAGCATGAAAACAAGGTAGACTGATTTAATCTGAAAGTAGTCCATAAAATCTCACCCTTGAAAAGTCATCTGCATTATTGTAATGTGCCCATTTATTTTGGTGCAGTTGATAAATAAATCGATGTTGGTTGCGTTGACTGCGATGGTGTTAACAAGTGCCCCCGTCCCAAGACCATTACAGACTAAAATAAAACACACGTTCAATTTATTTAACATTTCCGTGTCATGCAAAATTGATTAAACATGTCAAAAGCAACACAATTAATTCATTAATGACATTGCTGACCTTTCGGGCACAAGCCGTCACATTGTTTGCACTTCCTTATTCCGTTCTCCTCCACTTCATGCATGTTACTGCTGCAGGTTCGGACGCAGGCGTCGTGATCAGTCACCACAAAGTTATCTGCAGCAGATAGAGGCATTTGCAGTTATGTTTCAGTTAAGTATAGATGCTGTTTCTCCTAGATGTTTCTCCTTAAATAAAAAAGGCACAAATGAGACCATTACTGACATGTAGTATAGAGCTGTAAAATTTTAATTAAATAGTATAGCTTAGATCATTTGGTCTTGAGAGCATTTGAGAAGAAATGTTTAAGTTTAAATTGAGATCTCTGAATTTTGACGGCAGACTTTGGAATCTTGACATCTGAAGCTGTTTGAGACATTGTTGACATCTCTTCTGAAACTCTTTTGCAATACATATTTTATTCATTTATTATATTTATCAATAGCAACACAATTTATTTTAGGTTTAAAGCAATTTTTAATGTGTTTACCTTAAATAAACATTGGCAACTCAGAGAACAGTAGCTCTTTGTTTACACAGCGCATAATCTCTGGGTGTGTCTTTGCTTGTGTATTTGCAATCATAACTGGCTGAAGTTCAGTGCCATTTGGATAATGTTATTGGTGGTATGCACAATAGCAATGAGCCAGTATACCTCCATGACTTTTGGGACACTTAGATTTACAAACTAAAGGTTTTTAAAGAAAATAATGACATGCTCTTGTCATAGTGATCTTAGTCTGATTTTAGTAAGACGTATGAAAAGCAAACTCACAAGGGCACTTCTTCACACAGGTGGCTCCAAAGTTATACTTCCCATTAGGATTGGGAACAAGTTGGTGAGTGTTGGGGTTGTACAGCATAAGACGTGGACACGCATCCTTGCACATCCCATCGTCCTGGAAGTCTCTGCAGGCCTGCAGAAAAAGAGGCTCTGCACTGTCATCATAAATAACATTTGTTCCCTGCTGATCATCAGGCATCAAAACAATAAATTATATCATCATAAACTATAAATGATATACATAAAAGAAAAGGAAAAAATGCTGATCATCTAAATTAGAACTTGGCTATATTAAAATATTATAAATTTAAATTTAAATATATAATAAAATATTTTAACATTATATATTATTATATTTTCTTTGTAGGTGTAACGTGATCAGTATATAAGATACATGAAAAAATAAGCACCCATGCTTCATTTAAAATGTAAGATCTTTATCTTTTATGTTAGCACATTTGTGTTTTAAGAATTTCCTTGAAGACTTTTGAAAAGCGCTCCACTCACCAGACAATCTGTTGGTCGGGGTCCAGTGCAGCCTGCAGCGCAATGTTCACTGCAGCAGTCGATGGGTTTGGGGCCCTTGCACCTCCGTGAGCACTGCTCGGCACAGTTCAACCGAGTCACTGACAGTGAAGATGAAAGAACGTTTGTTAGGATGTAGTTTACTCATACATTTTCCTTTAGAGAATTATATATACAACTGAATTTACAGGTCTGGCAGTTCTCTGGTCCTGGAGCCCAACACGATTCATTATAGCACCCTGAGTCACATCGTCTACCTGAGGTACGAAAGAAAGTGTTTGTTTTATTATTTTATTTTATCAATAAATATATATATTATAAAAATACATTTAAAATCCAAATAGTAAATTATGCTCACCAAGGCTGCATTTATTTAATCAAAAATACAGTATAAAGAGTAATATTGTAAAATATTATTACAATTTAAAGCAACTGCATTGTTTTGAAATAGTTTTGTATATTGCATGATTTATGTTTGTAAAACTCTAAACACTTACACTGAGGGTCAGTCCCTCCTGACACATTCACGTCACTGTCATCCTGCACAATGTCCAACCACTGTATGGTCTCCACATTGCAAAGCAAAGGATTATGGGCTATTTTAACCCCACCTTTGAGAATTTCTGCCAGATTAAGAGGGAAAAATGTTTCTCTATCACTGAAAATAATAGAAATGGGACTTTATACACATATTGCATGCTGTATTCAACACATTGTGGTGCTTGGCGATATATAAACGTGCTTCTTGTGCTTCTCAAGTCACTTTGGATAAAAGTGAATAAATATAAATGCTTTACCTGTGAGGCTTCTCATATGCAGCTCTCGGAGGCCGCTGGTGATGCTGTTGATCTCTAAAGACTCATTCCTGTGGAAGTTTGCCACCACAGCAAGGCCATACTTGCCATCAAAGAGAGAATGTCCTCGAATGAGGCGCAGGTTTTCCAGGGGTATCACATCCACATAGTTTATTCCTATTAGCACGTAGCCACCAACTTCTTCAATGCTCTATGACAGAAAGAATATTTCAGTCAGGCCCCATATCATAATTGCTAGTTTATTATATCGGTGTATTATGGCACTCACCCTGAGGAAGGAGAGGTCATGGTACTCCTGAACATTGGTTATCTCCAGGTTCTCCAGCACGACTGTGCAGTTACTGTACATCCGCACCATGGCTCTGTAGTGATCATCTGGCTGTGCCAGCAGAGTCAGCTTATTATTGGTTCCCTGACATACTGGAGAATAAATGAGAGGTGAAATCAATACTCAGGAAGTGAAGGTGATATTATGACAGAACATACACAAAATAACTATACCCAAAAGTCTGGAATAATTCAGATTTTATAATGTTTTTGTAAGAAGCCTCTTCTGCTCACTAAGGCTGTATATATTTACAGTCTTATAATATTACTGTTTTTACTGTATTTTTTTTATCAAATACAGTAAATGCAGCCTTGGTGAGCATAAGAGACTTCTTTCGAAAACTCTTTAAAAAATCTTAATTATTCCAAACTTTTAACCAGTAGTGTAAATTACTGTGTTTTTTTCTTCCTTCCTTCAAATACATTTTCATCTCAAGCTAGGTTGATTGTAGTCTTGGTTATTGAATGCTATTGTCTGTAGACAAGTATCAGTTTTGTGACTAAATCATAGGTGTTATATTTCATAGGAAATATAGAAATTTCACACTCCACTAAAATAATAAGGGTTGCTGTGGTTTATTTCTCATTTGTGCCATGTTTTGAATAAGCTGAATTGAAAAACTTGAATAAAATTAATTCAAGTGTGTCCAAACTTTGGATTGGTAGTGTATACAGTATATACAAGTCTCTTTGGAAGGGATCATATTGTTATCAGCCAGTATTATTATTAGATTTTTTAATTTATCTGTAACGGTATCTGACATATATCCACTGACATTTTATTTAATTTTAAATATTTAATAGTACACACTTATGTCCCGTTTTTACATTTAGATTGCATTTGCAGTCATCTAACACTCACTTAAATCTTTAAAACACTAATAATTTAGTAACTCGGTTAAATGTAATATTTTGTTAATCTCAAAATGAAAATACATTTTTCATACTGTAAATTTGAGTGTTATCATGCCTAGATTCACTAGTTTTTAGTATTTTTTAAATTTATTTACACAAAATAGGCAATGAATTGGTTATTGGCCATAACATAAAAATGATTATCAGCTTGCTAGCGAGTTTGAAATGACATGAGGGTGAGTAAATGATGACAGATGTTTCATTATCCCTTTAAGACATGGCATACAGCAGTTCCTCATGCTAACACAAACTCCAGCATTCTCCATTCTGTCATTACTCACAGTCTCATGCACTGAACAGATCATCTTTCAGCCATCACTTCTGAAACTATTTCAATAGAGTTCTACCTCCTGAACACTGATAAGCAAGTCTTCATTATATTGTGCTCATATTACCCTTTTACATATTTTACATTGTATGATCTTCTATTCATGAAAACATGGTACTTTCCAAAACTCATTGTGAATGTAAAAGCTACAGTGGAAAACAAGCACTTGTTTCGTCTCTGCTGATTGTCTCCTGTCATGCAGGTGTTGAATTCCTGCAGTCGTCGTTATGTGTCTCATCTCTAGCGGAAGAGCAAGTTCTGGGGGCGGGAACACCGTGATCAAGAATGTGGTTCACCAAGGGTGAGACTCAAATATTGCACACAAGTGTTGCTCAACGTAAGAATTGGTTGAATTCTTGCTTGCCACGTGCAAGACGTGGGTTGTGTTTCCACGCAATGCAAGTAACAACTCAAGTATCATCTATTTCCCCTCAGGGATCAATAAAGTATGAGGTGGGAAACTAATAGATTGGAGATCCTGAGATGTCTGTCCTGAGATGTCTGTTTTTTTGATACTGTGCTCTTAGTGTGCTTTCTTGTTTTCCTAACTATAAGTTGGAATTTAAATTTCTGACTTGATTGTTGTGATGTCATGCAAAAAGAACATTAATGGCAGCAGCCTTTACCCATTTTTTTAGTTTCATGTCATTTTATTACAGTCAGAGAAATCTGGTGCAGTTTTTGTGTTTGTAAACATTTTGCAATAGCATAGAGATGTGAATTAATTTATGTAGTAATTATTTACTTTACTAATGTGCAACTTAAAAAAAATGTACTAGCATATGCAGAAATTAACATCAACCAAGTTTACGAAATGCTGTAAAAATGATACCAGTACATTAACTAATGTTAACAAATTGAACTTTATAGTAAATTTACCAAATAATTCTATATAATTACAAATGATCATTTTGCCCAATATTTGTGTGTGTTATGTACAGTATGCTTACTAGATGCAGTGATTCTCAACTGTTTTGACATAAAGGCCCACCATTTTCAAAAAGACCCCCAAAGATATTTCTGGTATTTCATAATAACAAAGCAATTTAAACTTTTTATTTACAGAAACTAGGAATGGCAATATATTAAAATAATTAAATTACATCATTTGAGAAGTTTCAATTACTGAATGTTTCTCAAGGTTTGCACTTTTAATGCCAATTATTTATTTATTTTATTATTATTATTTCTCACCGATATGTGCCCAATAAAATATTTGAGAGCTTAACATAGCTAGAAAAATTACATTCATTATAAAAATGTCCTTTATTTTTTTACGTTTCCTTTAAGATTTTACCATGAATTTTCCAGGTCAAATTTGTTAAATTCCCTCATATACACATGCTTACATTGAGATTTTTTGCCATTTTAACTTATTTTAAAGTATGTTTTTTTCTTAAATCATGTTAAGCCATATTGCAGCCTCCTTGTGCTTAGTGTGCTGAGGCCCCCAAGTGGGTCCTGGCATGCTGGTTGAAAACCACTGTACTAGAGTATCAAGTAGACTGTGGAGACGTGCTGAAATGGCTTTGGTCTCGTACTGTATCGCGTACCTTGTCAGTGTCGTGCACTTTGCTTGGCCATTTCTTGTGATAAACAGGAAAGTGTGTCCAGCTGAATTCAATTTGAGTTTTGTTAAACGAATTAAAAAGAAGCTTAGTTTACCGTGGAAGCGGTCGCGGCTGCGGTCGTGTGAAGACCGAAGAGTGTAAAGACCATCGACTCTACCGTGCGACTCCACCGAGCAGGACACCGGCGAAGGACATAAGTATCGCTTTTTATCTCTCCTCTTTCCACTTCTGTTTCAGTTTTTTATAATCTAGTTCTTACTATGTGAAAGTAAGTTGTTGTTATTTTAGCATGTGTGTTTGCCTCAGTGTTATTTTTTTAGGATTACTAATATACTTTGATTTGTATTAGTTATCTATTTTAGTTTTAGTTACAGTTGTAGTAATGTTGTCATTTTATTATTTTTTTATTTTTTTATGTCTACATAGGCTTTTTATTAAGTTTTACTTTTATTTATTTTGAGTTATTTCAGTACTTCAACATACAAAAATGTAAATGAAATAATATATATATATTTAATGTATTTATATATATGCACATGTATATGT